CAGGAATAATAAGATCGTTCTTTCTCTGTTTACTGAAGCCTGATTGGTTGTTGTTAATCCAACAGTAGTTAGAAACAACAGTAAACAGAGAAAAAACGATCTTATTATTCCTGCCTCTCACTCTAATCGTCTTTCTACCCCCACCATTGCCATCAGCGGTCCATTCTAGATGTCGATGGTCTCAACAAACGGCGCGAACAGAACGGGAAGCCCCCTTCTCCATTGCTTGCAGACTGCAGTCACATAGGGCCCAGGACCATAGAGTATAGAGTCCATAGCTCATAGACATAGAGCGAGTTCAAGTTGGCAAAGAGAGTCCGTTCGCCGAACAATTAAACATGATTGGTTGGATCTACAAATAAGAACCAATCATGCTCATTCGTTCGGCAAGGGGGTGATCCCGATTGACCACGGTTCGATTGGACACCACCAATCACAGCGACCGGTGCTTAGGAACTTAATGCAACAACGCCATAGATCACATGTGACTTTGATATTTACTGGAAAAATGTATGGGACACTTGTCGATTTTAACATTGGGCGTCTACGTAACAGGGTCACCTCTTTTCCATCCTTTAATATATTCATAGGAATTCGATGTAAATTACCGTCATCAAAATGTCGTTCGCAAATGTAATAATTTTTGCGAGTTTTCTTTCCATCTCTCAAGTTTGGTCCAATCGCATTCATCCATGTTTTGAAGTATGGAGATTTCTGCAATATAATAATTGAGGTTTAATATAACTGTTATGTATACAAATGTCAGACAAAATTATTAAATCACATTTTTGTACATTTCTCTAGATTACATTTCATCAATACATACCTCACAAAATTGGAATATTGTTTTTCGATTTTCTTTATCTCCAGGATTGAAATCACAATTTCGAACACAGCACACTCGCTTGGGCATCGTAAATCGGATTAAATTTTTACACGGTTTACGTTTAGTTCAAAATTCAATCAAACAGAAACAAAATACGTTCAACGTTGACGTCACGAATTGAATGCGCAGTCACGAATTGAAACCGACTATGTAGAGCAACAGAGAGGATGAAGCGCAAGAGTGGGGGGTGTCGTTCGTTTCCACTTCTTGCCTCACCCCCACTACCGCTTTTACGCCGAGTTGACTCTCCTGGTTCTAGTCTTCTTGAATTTACGTCACGTAAAATCTAAATTATAGTTATTCAAGTAGTTTTGGAACGCAAACCGATAATTTCTTTTTACCGAATAGTGATTCATAGTTCGTACTAGTAAAAAAAATCTTCATTTTCAAAAACCTTCCTTCAACCTTCCGATAGGTCAAAAAACCTTCAAAATGAAGAAAAACCTTCCGATGGAACAACATTGTATCGACGCGTCACCTGCTGACCCTGCTGACAGTGCTGACCTGCACCGACGCAGTGAGAGTGCGGTCCCATGCAATGCGGAACTACGGAAATGCGGATCTGCGGAACGTTCGTGATTGGTTAGTGGCTT